TCGGGTGTGAGACAGTTATCCACTTTAGGCAATGAATGAAAGATTGCGCAAGATCATGGATTGATTAGATTTATACATTCTGAAAATAAGAAAAATGTTATATTTCTCAGTCCGAACAGTTTAAAGACCTGGTGAGCTGTAATACGTTTCAATACATTCTGATCTAATTTTCCTCGTGAAGTAACATCGACATAATAATCAAACAAACATGATAATTTGTTAGGCAATTCAAATAAAATCTCCTGTTGTATTCAGTTAATATAAAAATGTCTTGACAGAGATGAAAACAAAAGCTTTAAAGGTCAAGATATTTTATAAGTTTACTCAGTCCTATTCCATAATGTTTATTATTTCTATAGCTGAAGGAAAAAAATTGGTTTCTGACAAACAATAATATGTCGCAAATTAACTTACTCTTTACTGATTATCATGGTGATTTAGACAAAGTAGAATCAAAATTCGATCATGGAATGAAATTAGAAACACATTGTAGTTTTATCTTGGTAAATTAGGATTTCACTCGTGTGTGATGAGCCTCAGCTTAGTGAAAAAAGGGCATTTAAACTATCATATGAATGTTTATTAACGCCTCGCTCCTTTAATGCAAGTTGTTACTAAATTCGGTGGAATATCACACAAGTGAATAAACCTTTGATGATGTACTTTAGAAAGATGAAATACCGACAATTAAACTAACTCTCTCAGTAAATACAATACTACTAAAAGAATTATATCTATTTGTTTCAGTAAATCAGCATCACGAACTGGACAATAACGAATATCCCTTGTGTAGCACAGGATTATCCTCGATCAATAAAATTGTAATTGAATTTTTGACAAGAGAAGAATCGGGTGTTCGCTTCCATTTTTAATATGAGTGTCAACACTTAAATTGTGAATGAGGATCTATGAATGATCTCAAATGAATGTGAAGTAGCTCTAAATGTCCAAGTGGTTTTCTTCAGATGTCAATCTACACTTAATATATATAATTCTTATCGCTGTTTTTTCTATGTAGATAGTAGCCTAATGCCAGTGAAAGACATTGTTCGAATCGTACGGTCATCTCACCACACAAGCTAATTGGTGACTAGATTTCAGTAAATAAACAAGGGAAAAAAACAAATACGACATTCCCTCTCATTTTATCCTGGTTAGCAAAATGCAAACAGGTGATTGCATCAAGCTGTTAAACAATTCCATATGGAAACTTTGGAACCTTGACATTAAAGTACTACTGAATATTATGTAAATAAAGGAGATGAATCATATGAGATTTAACGTTGCCACAAATTATTAGGTATAAATCTACTCATATTATTTAGTTATAAGATACAAACACATTTTAATTTGAAGAGGTCTTTTAGTGTTAAATAACCATAGGTTCAACAAAGTATTTCGTTTTTACAATTCGGTTTTCAATCACATATAGGAGCTCATAAATATTATGTTATCCATCAAATTGTATACTCATATAATATAGAATATAATATATTATAATAGATTGTTAAGTTAATCAAGACTTGTAAGTAAATAGTAATATCAAAGCTGTCTCCTCAAATGTCAACAGAAACTGATCGATCTCAATTCTGAGTGACAACGATAGGCAATTATAAATCATTACTAATACCTTCATACCTGTTGAATAAACAAGTAGTTGACCGAATTCAATACTATGATACATAGCAAATCGAGATATGATACAAAAGATACTGAGCTCGATTGTCACCATGAATATCAATACTGGGATAGCGATACACATCACGGACGAGTCTTAAAAATACTGAAGTACGAGTCATAGATCCCAGTGCTAACTGCAGTCTATTTTCACTAAAATTAATATACATTTCGATTGTTAATGTAGCACGTTTTGGTAATTAAGTTGGTTATATCGTTCCCAAAATATATTAACAGGTGACTGTAAGAAAAAGTGTATAGGAAGTAATGAGTTATCCTTTTAAGCATAGAAATGATTTATATCATTAATTTATGAATTCATATAAGTGACAATCAATAATTTCGAATAGTCAGTCTTTTTCAGTTATAAAATGAAAAGAAAACCAGAAATGTTTTAATGAATAATACATAAGAATAAAGTATCATAAACCATTTTTGTTTACATAACCTTGGCTGAAACTTCAACAATGTAAAATAGAATTGAAAATACTTGTTAAGATCTTGTGTATCACATCAACAACAACAACAAAAATTAAAATCTTATTTTGTTTAAATCATTGATTATTTTAAGATTGAGTATGTTATAGATCTACCTTATTCTTTGGCTGATCATACTTACTTACTTACGCCTGTTACTCCTCGTGAAGAAACATAGGCGGCTCACCAGCATTCTCCATTCAACCCTGTCCTGGGCAATCCTCTCCAGCTCCTTCAAGTTGTTACTCATCCTTTTTATATCTGCTTCTATTTCCCGACGTAATGTGTTATTTAGCCTTCCTATTTTCCGCTTCCCTTCAGGATTCCAAGTTAGGGCTTGCCTCGTGATGCAGTTTGATGATTTGCGTAATGTATGTCCTATCCATTTCCATCGTCTTTTCCTAATTTCTTCTTCAACTGGAAGCTGGTTTGTTTTCTCCCACAGAAGGCTGTTGCTGATGGTATTCGGTCAATGGACGTTGAGTATCTTGCGTAGACAGCTATTTATAAATACTTTAACCTTTTTGATTGTGGTTGTTGTAGTTGTCAGATCATAGTAATAATTAATATCAAAGATAATGACAGAGAAGCCGAGATAAGCAACCATTGTGTTTGCCTCCATATTAACGTATGAACAAGTTAAAATTTATTAGGATGAACTGAATAGGGTAAACTATTCCTCATTTGTAAGTGTTTAATAGGGTGGTTTTAATACTATAATTCATTGTGTAAAAGATTTTTTCTAAAAGACTTCTGTAGGGCTATTCTTAATCGATTAGAAACAATATTCCATATATTGAAGCTACACTAACCGTATTTGTTTAAAACTATGGATTTAATCGTTGATGATGACTTCTTATTTATTGTACAGTAGAGTAAGCAGTAAAAATCTGAGGTTTTGTTTTCACTCTACTTAAAACTAACCTTAAAATTTCATATGATGGTCATTCTATAAGACACTTCAGAATTCAATAACTTCTTAGGGAGTGAAATATCAAAACAAAAAATGAAATTCTATTTTTTTCTGTAAAATTATAACGATGAACACTAATTATTATAAGATATGACGATTTATTGAACACTGAACTACCTGTCACTCATGAGGAATATAAGCTCTGATATTATTTCTCACACAGTGATTTTGTAAAATCTTACCTTTAAATTGTTACTTTAAACAATAAATTAGTTAATAATGAACTAGATAAAGACCTCATGTTGTGAATATGATCATAGGTGGGGATAATCAATGTATAAAATATCCTGGTAAAATATGAAAACTATACATTAAATCCTTCATTTGCAAAATTCTCTCACTTGTTCTACACATTCTGTATGATTCTTCCAAGTCACCATTTTTTTCTATTTTCTTCAAATTGATCTTCTTAGCCTTCTGCTGCCATGCATTTCTCTTCCGATTAGTGTTACATACTACTTATGTCGACAGACATAAGTGACATATACCACACTTATTGTTATCCCTTATATATGCCTCTAAATGTGATAATTGCAGCTAAACGATAACACAATGATATAGATACTTAAATGTAAATATTAAAATAATCAAATATATTTTACGCATAAATTTAACTTTTTATTTTCCAGTGTACTGTTAGCAACATACCAACATTTTAAAATTCCTTACCATCTTATGAAAAATAAATGAACTTTGTTCAACCATATGATATATCTAACATTATTTAATCAAGCTTAATTGTAGACATTTGGACAAAACATTGAAATGTACACTATACATGGTACTGAATTCAAACTAAATAATATACAATGCTATAAAACAAATGGATAATGTTGCATAATAGACTAATTATCAGACAGTGTTATGAGTTTAAATAACTAGTTACACATTATAGCCCAAGCGTGTGTCACAAATGAATGTAAGTGGTTTTTTCTTTATATTTTTATTTCACTATATTACTCATAGTTAAGCATTGAATTTTCATTGTATTTTTGTTTGTAATATTGTAACAAAAAAAAACACAATTTTAGTTGATTTTATTTAAATCATAGAATTCAATGTTATTTCTTTAGTGATAGTTAAATTACATATGAATCAATCAGTTTAAAGCCACCGGTGTTTTGATTTGAATCTATAACAACAAACATAATCACAACTACAATCCATGGATGTATATGTGCATATATATATATATATATATATATAGGATGCATTATTTACATTCCTACACTACATTCACTGAATTACATACTCATTTCTACTCGTACTCATCACTAACACTCAAGTAGAATGATGATGATAATGATGATGATCATAATAAAGAGAATAATGTTGATAAAAATGACCTAGACCTATTTGAATTATGATTGGTTGGCATATAACATGAATTGACAAGAATGTTATTTAATTCATTTTCATTTCATTTAAATGACGTACAATAAATTTACTGATAGAAAAGGATTGTTCATTATACATTTTTCACATTTTTATATGTTCTGTATTTTTTTTCTCACTCACTCACTCTCCCTCTTTTTTTTTTTTAAGTAGACAAATCCATGTAAACAAAGGTATATATTTAATTGTCTAAGATATAAATTAGTTACTAAGCTATCTATTTATTTTTTTTTAATTTTGTTCACCTCTCTATAAAATTGATTAGTAATCTGTTTGTTTGTTTCTTTTTTGTTTCGAGTAACTTTACCGATTTTTTAATGAATTGTGTAACCGGTGTAATTATTTCAATTAATTTCATTTCATTACATTAACTGTATATTTGGTTTATTTATCTAAAATAGTCAATAATAATAATAATAATAAAACAATAAAACAATCTGTATGAATCATTGAACATTTGGATTAGTAACAAAAGAAAATGAATAAAATTATAATATTCTTAACAACTTTAACACTTCTATTCAATTTACCAAATGGTATACAATATAATCAACAATATCAAAGAAAATATCAAGAAGAAAAACCGAATCATAAATTGAAAAGGATTTATTTAATGAATAAAACATTTCAAATATCTTCATTAAAACAACAATATTTATATGATGTACAACCAAAAATGTCTAATGTCCATTTGAATGAATCAGATGAAATGAAAAATGCTACTAAAGATGTAATTAATTTAATTACAGGACATGATAATAATAATAATAATGATCATGATTATGATGAAACTGGCTTAATAGAAGATGAAGAAGAAGAAGATATGGAGTTAATTGATGAATTGAAAGAGTATATGTAAGTTTAAATAAATAACTCATTATGATTAATATTATTAGTAGAATAATAATAATAATTAATCAGTATTATATGTAGAATTTGTGAAAAGATTCAATATCGAGATAAAATTTGTAAAAATCAATTACAGATTCATTTTACTTGAATCTTTCCATTGATTTTTCTAATTGCAATTGATCAGTTTCTTATTGGCATATATGTATCTTATTTGGATTGTCTCGATATTACATCCAGTAAGGATAAGATTCGCGTTCTGAACTCTACTGATAGACACTAACCATGTTTTGCTTTTATTCATTTACAGAGTATAAAGTGAATTATTTTCTTAAATTATTATTTAATTTATGACATGATCATTGACTTCATTTTACTTGGTTACTTTATACTCAGGTGATATATGACTGGAAAAAAATAGCATGTATTTGACTTGTCTTGTTTTTTCTTAATCACATTAGTTGTTTCGCATACATGTATATGGTTGTGTATGTGTGGTCAACTTATATTGAATTTTGAAACAAGCTGATAGACAGTTATTATTTCTTTCCTAGAAAAAAAGAGATTTGTAAGAAACTAATAAAAACGTATGTTAGTGGTTGATCGACTAACATCAGAATAATTCAATTAACATATTTTAAACGATCTAATAAGTGTGATTGATTATGAGACAAATCAATTAAAGTAAACTACTGAAATTTAAATGAATCGTTTTGAAAAAAAGTTAGCATCTAACTTAGGGATGATGAATCAGAGACTCAGTAAATCCTGATACTGTTCTGATCATAGTAACTGTAGAACCTGGTCTCATGCATACATGAGCATGAGAATAGATAGTCTTAGATTATTCCAAACTGTGAATATAACTAGTTGTTTGATGCTTTTTTTTCTTTAACAATTCATCAGATGGTGTCAAGTTGTTGTGAAAATTGACCGTAAAATTATCAATTTAATGGTGAAGAATATTTTTATAGATATATGTCAAAGTTTATGAATATTCATAATTAAATATTTCCAGCTTGTTTTTGCCCCATTTTCACAGAGCTATTGTTCTTCCACACAAGTGACCAATTCTTAGTGGTTGTGCTACACATTTCAATAAGTTCTACCGACGTACATTTACCGCATTATTCATTTTGCGATCACACAAAATATATAAACTACACTAACTCAACAATATATAGATGTATAGCATGAGCACAACTTTTCACAATAAGTAGCGAAATCGCAGCTCTATATCTATAAAGAACTAATGTACTATCGTTAAGGATATTAATTGTTGAAAGAAGGCTTTTAATATTACGTCACTTTAATTATAAACTTTTCAATTACTTTTACTATTGACCCTACTCATAAGAAATGCTCTCAGATCCAAGTTAATAACAGAAAAGGGATCAATTATATCTGATAGTTTAACAATACATGATATCAGATGGGTCTTGTGGATATTATAGTGATTCCAATGGTTAAGATCATGAGTCGTTCAGTTTCATGGATTAGTTGAAGTTAAACATTAACACGATTGGATGCCGACTCAGTGGTCTGGTGGTTAAGTGCTCGCGCGCGATACAGTAGGCCCTGGGTTCAAATATCGCAGGGGGCGGAGTCGTGGATGCGCACTGCTGGGGAGTCCCACAGTAGGACGAAACGGCCGTCAACTGCTTCCAGTTTTCCATGATGGTCTAGCTTCAACTGACTCATGATCTTAACCATTGAAATTAATATGTGATATATTAAAGACAGTGTAAATTTGTCGGCGATCAGTAACTTAAGTTTAATTTACGTTACTAAACAACAACAGACAAAGAACATGAATAAAACATAATTTTTAATACAATGTGACTGGTAAAAATAATCAAGTCAAGACTGAAACAAAAGCGTACAAATAACAATAATCGCAAACTAATTGAAGTTAAAGTATGGATTAGAGAATATTAGGCGAACGTACTAACCAGCTCAATCCTATAGAAAAGTACACTGTTCGGAAATGTTAAGACATAAAAAGAGTGACTATTTCATGAATATCGTTTTCCAAATATTTTCCAGTTGACCTCAGTTCTTTGCGAAAGTTATTTTCAAGTTCTACAAATTTCTTTTTAAAAACTTAACACAAATATCCCATTGCTAAAATGGCCAATATATGCAATTCGAATTTTCATCGAGTTATAATGATGTACTTTATGAGTAAAAGGGATAGAACGTTGTGATATTTTGATGTAAATCAACACCCTTAGCTAACTATTACAGTTTGTATGTAATATCAATTAGGATTTCCAGAATGTCTGAATTCTAATTCGTGTATATCATTGTTTATATTATGCGAGAACTACTTTTTTTCTTCTGAAATACAGATTTTAATCTTCTAAGCCAAATTTCATCCTCTTATCTAAATACATTTGAATAATTGTTATTTTTATTAGGTAAATTCTATAAAATTCAGACAAGATTTAAAATATTTACCTACAACTAAACAAGAAATTGAGTACATAATTAAATCACTTAGAGTAAACATTTTAACAGTCTCCATGGATCAATTTCATTTTCAAACTTCAAGTGTCATGAAATAACTTTATCATATATGTATTTAAATTATAGTAAAATACAAGATCAGATAACGTGTTCAGCTGAAAATAATGGAATGATTAAAATTTCTGAAGAACATTTCAACGGATCAGATAATATGTTTAAGCATATTGTATAGTATATGTTAAGAGTAATCATCTTTACTGAAGAAATATTTTCCACCTGTTCTGTTAATACAACATTATAAAAATATTTCATGTATAAATTGCAAATTATAACACTTTTTGCGGTTAGATGTAATATGACAAGACTTTTATAGTTTATTCTTCGTGTATGAAGTTTAATGTATTTGCATTTTTTGGCGAAGGATAGATGAAGAAAAAATACAACAATCATCATAATAATTCATTTTGAGTTTTGTAACATTTAACTTATTTAGTTTTCAATAAAAGTGAATGAATCGATAACCGTAGGTAAAGTTTATTCTGAGTAAGTAGAAATGTAAACGAGAACGTGAACAGAGTGTAATTGTTGTGGAAATACAAGAACAATGAAGTCTGAGACGATTGACTGACATTTTGCAAATGAAGGATTTACCGTATGGTCTTGAAATTTTACTAAGAGATTCTGTAATTTTGTGTTTAAATACATTCGAGTGTCCCTATTTGTGTCCTCGTTTACTACATTTGGTGTCACTGCCAACTAGAGGAGGGGAAGGGTGCTGTTCTGTAGACGCCTTTGCGGCCCTGGATCTGAGGTGCCATTTGGAACGGCCTGGTACGGGAAGTTGAAGTCAAGTGAAATGTTCTGGTGGAGCAGCGTTGGCTGTAGCGAGTGCTGTCGACGGAGAGTGGCGGTGGGACGTATGGCTGCTGGGCGGAAATCGGATGTACTCGGTTCAGCAGGTTGCTGAAGTGCAGGTGCTGAACGTCCCAGGTGCAGCGCGTACGTCTGATCTTGATGGTCCGGAGGGTCGACGGAGTCATGAAGATCAACTTTCTGCAAACTCGACGTTTAAACGCAGAATGTGGCACAGATTGTGGAAAAGAAAGTGACACCGCTAGCAGAATCACCGCAAGAACGACTGCCTAAAGTGGGGATGAGTGTGGTGTATGCTACTGATGTCGACAGATATAAGTAGTATGTACCATCAATCGGAACTAAAGTGCCTGAAGGCAGAAAGTTAAGAAGACCGAAGAAAAGAGAATGAGAACACAGGATTATTCGTGTGGAAACGAAAGAACAATGAAATCTAAGACGACTGATTGACATGTTTCAAATGCAGTATTTACTGTATGGTTCTGAGATTTTACTAAGAAATTTTGTAATTTTGCGTTCAGATACATTCGATTGTCCCCATTTGTGTTCTACTTGACCACAATAGGATTACATATGAAGAAACCAGTCTTTCTATACATAGTCTTATATTATCCATTCGCATCTTGCAATGTGTTTTGCAATCAGAACTGTTTTCTAGTTTATTCATCGAGAGTTCTGAGTACTCCGTGATTTTGATGTACTAACTCTTCTCTCCTTCTTACGACTGTGACAACTTCGACGACATGTACTGCTACATACTACTTACAAGCAACCTTGTAAGAAGCGTTCACAACAATACGTTATTTTAAGCCATCAGTGACTTTTTAACAGGTTAATTATGATTTTTCATGTCATTTTTACGGTTTTGTTGTGAAGCATTTGAGTAATCATACACTTACTGTTGACTCCCAATTTATTTGACAGATGTACAAAGTAGATAGTCCTTACGGTTAAAATGTGAAAATTAGAGTATAAGCTATTGAGCATGTCTGAGCATATTGTATGTTCATGTAAATTATGAGACTTTAATGTAAGTTTGCTTCATAATGCCACATACATAACTTTAAAACAAATTCTTATGTGTACACTTGAACAATGTTAGTAATTCTTTTGTAATTAAAGTAATTTGTGTAAACAGATTGGTAGATATTTATCTAAGCACACGGTTCATTTGTTTTATTCTCTATATATATCGTTGTAACTATGCAAAACAATGGTAATCAAAGCTTATTATACACGTTTGCTATACGCTAATAATATTGCGGATGTTCGCTACAATATGTAAATGAAACTCCCAGTATACTTCTCTGTCGCAGTTCCTCTTTTTAGTAGGAAGAGAGTAATTTGTATTTATCATGGTTATTGTCAATTACATCATTATCTCAACTATTGAAATTACTGCAATTTCCACATAACCCCTTGTGATACTAATCAACATATGCTCACTATTCACTGGCTTCAAGAGGTATATCCTGGAGTTCTAGTGAGAAGCAGTGACCAGTGAAGTTCAACCGGGTCAGTTGTGAGATACGAACTCACTAAAGACAATTGTGGATGTGTCGCTCAATCTCATGGATTAGTTGAAATTAGACATTAATACCGTTGGATGTTGGCTCAGTGGTCTAGTGGTTAAGCGCCTGGCGCGAGACTGATAGGTCCTGGGT